GTGGTGGATATGAAAGGAAGAATAGAAAACAGTTAGGACCAAACGGTCTTAAGTATTGAAGGGCGAGTGGTGGATATGAAAGGAAGAATAGAAAAACAGTTAGGATCGAACGATCTTAAGTATTGAAGGGCGAGTGATGGATATCAAAGGAAGAATAGAAAACAGTTAGGACCGAACGATTTAGTTATTGAAGGGCGAGTGGTGGATATGAAAGGAAGAATAGAAAACAGTTAGGACCGAACAGTCTTAAGTATTGAAGGGAGAGTGGTGGATATGAAAGGAAGAATAGAAAACAGTTAGGACCGAACGGTCTTAAGTATTGAAGGACGAGTGGTGGATATGAAATGAAGAATATAAAACAGTTAGGATCGAACGGTTTTAAGTATTCTAACATATTGCTACTAAATAATAATAGGAAAACATGAAAATGAAAATATCTTTTGTTGATCAGAAATGAAAACCCAACGTTGACAATCAGTGCCACCAATGTCATCCAGAAGTAGTGTCAAAAACCATCTCCAGCTTTTTTTACATTCATTTTCAACCACAGCAAAAGCTAGTGGTAAATACTGGTCATTGGGGTCTCTGGCCACTACTACCAACAATTGACCACCATATGTTGTCTTTAGATGACAACCATCTACCCCTATGAAGGGCTTGCAACTTCCTAAGAAGTCTTGCTTACAACCCTCTAAACACGTATAAAATGACCCAAACCTTGGTGACAAACTTGGTTGGGGTTGATTGACTTTAATTTTAAAGGTCCCAGACTTCACTCTTAACAATTCACCCACATAATCATATAGACGACTATATTGTTGTTCTCCACACCAACCAAAGAATCCAAAGCAATTTGCTTGGCCTTTCCAGCTTTCCAAGCACTTATTCCAATACTGAACGACTTCTTAATGCCATCAATGATTTCGTTGACTTTCATGTTATCCACATTTACAAACATGTCTACTAATACTTGTGCAATCCATTTTACATTTGCACTTTTGTTTCCAAAAACTCGTCCACATCTGTGTCGTCCAACCAGGGTTTTGACCCTAAATGTTTCCTTCCCTCCTACTTTGCTAGCCATAATAAGAAAGCCACGATTGTTTTTGCAAACTGCCTTTACTCTATTCAGATCATTCTTCACAAACTTCAACTCTTTTCCATTTAATACATTATGCTCCATTAGTGCATTTTTAAACTCTTTTAATGAACAGAACTCCATTCCTAATTCAAATTTAAAGTTCTTGTCAATATCATCTTGTCTATACTTTTGAAAGTTGCCCTTTTTCAACCTTACATCCTCATCACTTTCTACATTTGAATCCAATTCAGCAGTATTGTATTCTTCATTGATGTCATGCTCTCCAACTTCTTCATTCATTATAAATGAACCTTCCCCAACATTGCCTCTTCTACTCACACGTTTCTTC